AGACAGACAGACAGACAGACAGACAGACAGACAGACAGACAGACAGACGACCGACCGACCGACCGACCGCTCTAAATGCTTTGTTCCTAATTATTCAGAAAGTTTACTTTTCCCTTCCCCAGATTTCAGGATACTACTTTTCTATAAGTACTGTGCTGATATATTTTAGATAACTTTATCTTTAAAGGGATTTCTTCTGTTTTAATTTATAGACAAGTTCCTTTTCCTATGTTTTCCTATCTTCTTCCCTACTGTAAATGATTATGAGATGAAAACACCAAGGTGAAGCTAATGCCTAAGTCTTTATACTCTGTCCTTTAATACATTATTTCAAATACTTTTGCAAAAAAAGATTTTGCTTTCACATATATATGTACATCTAATTTGAATTTTGTAGAATATGCACCCAATTTTCACAAATACATTAACGTAACTGAAGATCCGAAATCTCCCAAAATGTTAAGGAGTGTAGTTATATACAGTATACTGTAGCAATGCAAGGAAATGGTGTTTAGATTTCTTCTTAATATGAGGGGGCCAAACATTTGATCCTTCAGTTGCAATGTGAAGTTATACAGACCAGCAGACATATCACCTGGGTCTGATTATAAATCTCAGCTACATCCACAATTTTTTCATTTCAGTGGGTCACAGAAAGAATTCCTGACAAGCAACAGAGCCTGGCAAGTAACCTTCAAATGACTGTAAAGGTCCACTCCATACACCTACCTCTCATTCAGTGCTTTAAATATATAAAAAATATTTTGCAATTGACCAACACAAAAGCAACTGTCAAAAGCAACTGTTTATTATGTCTGCCCTCTCACATATATTAAAGTGTTGCCACAAAATAAATGACTACTAAATATATTTTCAGCTATAAAATATTCAACTTTGAAATAAAATACCTGGAACTGGAAAGAAATCTCCCACACTGAATATAGTTAAGGTTTTATTTCAAAAGTCTTCACTGCACAAACCAACTAAGAATGAAATATCCTCATAAAAATAAGAACATTAAAGTTTTGGTTTCTTAAGACCATAAAATAAAGTTTGCTACTGAAGGGCTACAATGAAGATGTTTGTGACTCTCATTACATTTCTTTAAAAAAATACGCCCTGATAGTAAAGTATTTACACTTTCTCTTACTGCCACCCTGACCCCCTACCAAAATAGCTTAGTGCTCCATTGGGGATCGTAATCCTTTGTGAAAAACATTCTGAATACAGAGAAGTTAGTATATTCCAAAATATGAACAAAAATGGAAAAGCCAATGATGTTATACCTTCTACCTTTATATTAAAACAGAGCAGTTTTTTTTACTGTGGAAGCAGGTCATTTCATTTCTTCCTATTATAATTGCAACATCACAGAAAAGACAGCTGTCCCATTATTATGCTAACAAACAAAATAGAAAGAGAACATACTGTCTTCGTTTAAACTTAATTATGCCCTTTATCCATGCTAGAAACAAAATTACTTTCCAGGATAAATACAATTAAATTGTAAAATAGCCAAGGGTGCTTGGGTTGCAGTGTCATAGTGCTGCAACAACAGATACAGATTTTTTTATTTGAACCCTGAATAATCTGTGACCCACAGAGATTACTGGAAATGTGTTTAAGTATCAGGTGTTTAAAAATAATCCTTTTTTTTAAGGGAGGTCAGTTCTAAAGTGACAATCATAATTAAAGAATCTAACAAACACTGGTGAGCCACATATTGGAAATAGTGAATGATGCTACAGTTGGAATTTACATATATAATTAATATTTATTACAACAGGCAGTAAAACACTACTAAGTCAATAACATTATTGGAGGTAGGATTTTATAATATTTTATAAAGAACAATAACATATAATGCCAACTTATATGCAGTGTTTAAGTTGTAATAATTGAGTGCTCCTTTTAAAATATTTTAATAGTATATCTATGTGCTACTTTGTAATTGCAGCATATGTGACAAGTCTTGTTACACTTTGGCTAGCTCATAAGCCTCTGTGGTTTATTATTCACATATATATTATGAAAGCAAGTTTTAACAAAAGAACAAATCAACAGTAATTTATCAAAATGTCACTATTGAAACCTTGTCATAAAGACTGTAGGAATTTAACATGACCACTACTAACAGCAATAGAATTTATGGTTAGAAAAACCATTAAAATTTCAATGAAACTAAAATACATACAGTGGGGCAAAAAAGTATTTAGTCAGCCACCAATTGTGCAAGTTCTCCCACTTAAAAAGATGAGAGAGGCCTGTAATTTTCATCATAGGTATACCTCAACTATGAG